AAAAAAAAATGTTCAGACTCTCAACTTAGCCTTCTGCTTGCAAAGCATACTGCTCAAAATAAAAGATGTCTCTAATGTGTGTGTGTGTGTGTGTGTGTATATACACCACATCTTCTTTATCCATTCATCAGTCAATGGACATTTGGGCTGTTTCTATAATTGGGCTATTGTAGATAATGCTGCTATAAACATTGGGGTGCATGTATCCCTTCAAATTTTTGTTTTCTTTGGGTAAATACCTAGTAGTGCAATTGTTGGATTGTAGGGTTCATTTCTGAGTGAACCTCCATACTGTTTTCCAGAGTGGCTGCACAAGTTTGCATAAAAAAGAAGAAAATCTTGCCATTTGTAACAATATGGATAGAGCTAGAGAGGATTATGCTAAGTGAAATAAGTCAGTCAGAGAAAAACAAATACCATATGATTTCACTCATATGTGGAATTTAAGAAACAAAACAAACAAGCACAGAGGAAAATAAGAGAGAGGCAAACCAAGAAACAGACTCTTAATTATGAAGAACAAACTGATGGTTACCAGAGGGGAGATGAGTGGGGATGGGTTAAATAGGCGATGGGGATTAAGGAGCGAACTTGTGATGAGCACCAGGTGTTGTAGGGATGTGCTGAATCACTAAATTCTACACCTGAAACTAATATTACAGTGTATTTAACTAACTGGAATTTAAATTTAAAAACTTGAAAAGGAAAAAGATGTCTCTCATCAATTCAAATCAAACACCAAAATGAAATCTTTTTCTTCTATATTCCAATCTATATTCCATACTTTTACTAACTATAAACACATCCACTAAGAACACAGCTTTTATACTTGTGTTTAAATAATCTTACATAAATCATAACATACTGTACTTATCTTTCTCCAGTTTACTTTTATCACTCAACACATTTTTAAAGATTTATTCAAAATTTGTCATATTGAGACTTTTAAATACATATTATTTATTTATTTTTTTTTAAATTTTTTTTTTCAACGTTTTATTTATTTTTGGGACAGAGAGAGACAGAGCATGAACGGGGGAGGGGCAGAGAGAGAGAGGGAGACACAAAATCGGAAACAGGCTCCAGGCTCTGAGCCATCAGCCCAGAGCCCGACGCGGGGCTCAAACTCACGGACCGCGAGATCGTGACCTGGCTGAAGTCGGACTCTTAACCGACTGCGCCACCCAGGTGCCCCAAAATACATATTATTTAAACTTCTGTATTACAGTGACTCATGTGAATGTGCCATATTTTATTTATCCAGTGTTTCACTGATGATCATTTAGGTTGTCTCCAATTTATCACTATAGAAACAAGGCTGTTATGAACATGTCTTTCAGACCACTACTAACAAATTAAACAAAACCCTGGGAGATATATAGAATCCAAACATAACATTTAAACATCCATAAAGACTGTAATCTTACCAGATAGGAAAAGTATAGTAACTTAGAGTTAATGACACAGTAAATAAATAACTTGAAATCAATAAAGTGATGCAGCAGCACATTCAGGGTTGCAGACTTCCATGAGAAGATAGAGGACATGGGTAATAGGTAAGTAGACTTCAGGAGACATGGGCTCTGAGACCATTCCATATGGAGGGCATGGACAAATCAACTATAAAGCAGGGCTCAGCCTGGCACGAAA